GAAACGACTCCCCCTTACGTAAAATTAACTATGTGAAGAAAAAATGTCCCCTTTACTTATTTTTCTTGGGGTTTGGAAAGTTTTGATAGTTGCAGGTGAGAGATAGATGTTTAATTTTGCTGTTTCGACTGTATAAACCAACTTTCAAGTCGTAAATTTAGCAAAGTATTGACGTTTTAACCACTCAATCATCGTGAAAATGAAATCTGTGAAATAGTTTCGAAGTGTTTGAGAATACTAGACGTATTTGAGTGCCGGACTTTTGACCTATTGAAAGCTTATCTATCGCTGCCTTCCGTGCAATATATAATTTTGGTAAATAAATGCTACAAATGAGGAAAAAAAGCGTGACCTACCTTTCTCCCGTCTTCGAAGCGGTAGAAATGTACTCCCCCATACGTTGAAAACGACTCCCCCATACTTTTGAGCGACTCCCCCGCGTTACCCGTTGTATACGGTGTGAAGGCAAACCTCTTTCTCATGGTGAACACTTTTGTGTACAAAACAATGTAAGGAACCCTTTTGTGTACATAACAATACCAATTCTGAAGCAGCCTATATGTCATTCCTATAAACGATAACTCATAAATCGGCACTAAGTTGGTCATTTTTCGCACCTATTTACCTATCCTTACAACACAACATCGGAAAAATCAATTATAAATAATTAAACTTTTTAATGGTGTAATTAAATGTATGCATAAGTTATTATCGATAATTTCATGTACCTATAAATCTATCTATGCAATGTTTTTTTACCAAATTTGCAACATGAAAAATTAGTTGAAAGGCCTATTCAGTGTCATATTAATGCATGTACATTGTATATTTATTCATAGTACATGTTTAATAAATTCTAGCTGCATAATTTAATTCATGCCTTTATGTTTTAATCATTTGAAGAGAGAGGGGGGGGGATCTATGTCAATACTAAGTAAGGCCATATAAAATTAATCTTTAGATTCTCATCCCCGCCCGCCCCTCTCAAAATGTCCCGCCCCGATGTTTTTTATTTTGATTTTTGGGTATTTTCATGTATTTTTATTCAGTAAGAATTTGGGTCAAAGTTTAAGAGTTATCTCCCGTCTGTATTAAAAGTCGTGTGTCGCTATTTATAGCAAAAACGCCATGTGAAGAATGGAGAAAAATCGGCAATAAAAGCAGTTTAAATGTGTAAGGAAAAGATAATTTGTCAGTATAGAGAAGGCAGAGAAGAAAAAATAGCATAAACACATATAGATACCATCAATGGCAGGAGCAAGTATGTAGAGAGATTGTAACTAAGTAAAAATAGACGAGGAAAATGACACCTGGTCAAGTTATATATAACGATCTCCAGCTGTGTGACTTAGCTTTGAAATAAAAAAAAATCTACAACATCGTAGACAGACTTAAGAGAAGGCCTAGATTTTTCAGTAGAATAATTATTTAATTAGAACATTTATATAGATTTTGCAAAATAAGAAGTCAAGCATACAAAATTTATTGGTATCCCCACCTCATTTTGTTCAGGGTGTGCCGTATAATGTGTACTTGATAATTTGTTAATTAACAATAAATATTTAACTTTTAAAGCAAAAATTTTCTTTAAATATTTAAAAGAATATGAAAAGAATTAAATTTATTCATATTTGCATTAAGGTAATGAAAAAAATGTGTACGGGGCGTCCATTGTTTTGTTGATACTTAGGCCTATATATGAATTAACAATTATAAAAAATAAAAAATAAAATCCGCCCACCCGCCCCAATTTTTTTCAAATTAGGATGAGAATCTAAAGATTAATTTTTCCTGGCCTAATCTACATTTAAGGCTCAGCAATAGGAATCTGGAACTCTGTTTGCAGTTTTAATTGATAATATAATTTCTTAACATTAAAATAGGCAATCTCCTCCGAAAGTTTTTCAGTTTCTTTTCTCAGCTTCAGAACCTCTAACTCCAGTCTTTGCTTGTCCATTTTCAGGTTTTCGGCCAATAATTTGTCTATTTCTGAACACGTTCCCGGCCTTGTTTCTGCATTGTCATAAACAAAAGCATTAGTATATTTGCAAAATAGTTATGGCCTAAGGCCATTCCAAGTTTTTTCTCTATTTAGCGTCTTTTTTGGTCTGTGTGTTTTTTTGGGTTTTTTTTTTTGAATAGGTAGGTAGGATTTTGTAAAATTGGTGGACGCTAAACATAGAAAAAACTTGGAATGGCCTAATATAAAAAAAATATTTGTTTGCAGTACTCTAACAACCCACTGAAAAAGCACCATACCCCATATTGTTTTTACAGCTATCTTGTATCATTTCTTTAAGCTTCTAGTTTTTTTTAGGATATTGAAACTCTTTTATTTTCTAATTTTGATTTTTGTTTTTTAATATATCAATCAATGAAATTTATATCAAGTGGATCTTATTTATGTTTAGTAGGACTATTTTTGTTAGTTTGACAGAGATTTGAAAACTAATTTTTTTTGTCTTTTGCCTACCAAAAAATTACAGGTGGGCAACTGCAAACAAAGATTATTTCGCCTAATATAAAGGTGCTTATACTAGCATATTCAGATCAATCGCCCTAAATTTAGATACATGTATACTACAACACTCTCTATCATACATGTAACTAAACTAAATTCAATATGCTTGTTCTAGCCACAGTAGATAAAACAACATGAACTAGTTTACAAAAAAACTACTGGTAGATGTATAGAGGATATCTATAATTGTGTGATATGATATTGGCTTTATCCAACTCGATAAAATAGTGTATATACACTTAGCAAGCCTCTCGAACATATACACGATTTTAATTCTTGGATAAAGCCAATATCAAATCACACAATTATAGATGTTCTATTTTATCTCATACAACTTTCCTTTTGACAAAACTTTACGTTTTCCCCTGTGAAACTACATGAATGATTTCTAATTCCAATTGATGACATATAACTTAATGACATGCGCAGATCTAGAGGGATGGGTCTGGGGGGTCAGGACCCCCCCTGGAATTTGCAAGGTTATTAAATTAATATACAAAAGCAAGAAAAAAGTTAACTTGGACACCCCCCTCGGAAAACGCAGACCCCCCCCCCCCCCCCCGGTAAATGCGAATTTGTATTAAAGTGGTATAAAAAGTCAAAGGTTTGAAGTATTGAAACATTAAAAGTCATCGTCTAACCCAACACCCCACCCCCCCCTTCTGGATCTGCGCCTTAATGATGTAGCAATTTTGATGTTGAAATGCCTTGAAAGAAAATACAGGGTAGATATTGTTCAAACTGAAAATTTTAAGGACTAAGGGATCGTGAAAATACTGTTAGTGTAGAAGTACTTTAATTTTTTCATGTGCGCTATGTACGCGGCTAAAAATTTTCCGCGGAAATTTGTCCAAGTGTACCAATCTAAATGTAAGGCATATACCGTATATACTCGCTACAAGTCGGTTGTATTTAATAAGCTAATATTTCAGATGGACTGACCTCATATAATACCATTCTTTTTATAGCTCGCCTATAGGTCGGACACAGAGTTTTGGACCAGACTCCCCAAAAAACCGACTTATAAGCAAGTATGTATATACGGTAGTCAAAAAAAAAATATCTGCGTAATTTCCTAACCACGGATTAAACAGACATTGAGATTCCGCGATATTATGACCCCGTGGAAAAAAGTATGTCTACAGTAAACTTAAGGGAAAGAATTTTCACAAATAAAAGTTTCAATAAATCTTGAGGCGAGGGGTTGTGTCAAACCAGAGGTGCTATTGATAAAGCATCTACCTGTGGATATAGCATCTAGGTTTATCCAACGGGTAGTATCATCCACACTTATGAGATAAATTTGTGTATCCATACTTCATTTCACTTTAGTACTACATGCTTGAGGCACTTACTCTTCATGATGTTTTTTTCGTACACTTGAGGTGTAGCACTACATGTAGGTGCATCCGACAATGAACTGCATGGAGCAGGACTGCTTTCTTCAATGACTGAAAAGTGTTGATGATACATGTATAATGAAACTACCTATTAAACTGATAATTTAGACAAATTTGTATTTGATAACATGTGATAGATTTATGCATGTCAGTACCATCTGTATCTATCCCTCCATCTATCCCTTCAACTACTGGCCTCCCGTCCAGTGAATTGGCCAATGCCTCCTCTGCAGATGTCAAGGGGGGAGGTGCTGGTCCACCACCTGTCTGTCTAACTGACCGCTTGATAAGGTCAATCTTCTCTTTGGCTAAAAAAAGCATTTAAGTTTTTTAACATGCTGTGTTTAATTTAATTTTTATGTGTGAATTAACAATAACTTTATTGTTACTTGTTAATATTAAAAATCATAGCATCATTTATAATATTTAGTTATTATATATATATTTCTGTTGGGCCACCCTTAAAAAATTTTTTGTTTGGAATTGCTGACTGGAGGGTTTCAGACTCAGACGGGAGGGAGGGAATTTTTTTTTATTTTTCAAAATTGTATATAGATTTTTAATTTTTGGTAAAAATCTCAGTAAACAGTAAATAAATTTTCTGACTTTTAAAAAAGTATCTATCATTAACAAAGAAACCTTATTTTGCATAGATCTGAACTACATTTTAGTGTTTGGTATTGTGCATATGATTATAGGCAAAAAAATTAAATTAAAAAAAATTCTTCCTACTTTTGGTCAATAATTTTTTTTTCAGGCGGGGGCATTTCAATAAGGCAGGAAGCATTTCCAAACAACCAGTAATTTTATTTTGGCCTTGTTGTTGAAATATAACAAAGTACGCTATGTGTAGAAAATAAAGATGGGTTGCTGATTGAATTTATGTTACCTCTCTGCTTCAAATTAAAGTATTTCTTCTTCACCTCATCAGCATCTCTTTTGGTCGTGCTAAATTGCCTAATATTAAAAAAAAAACACATTACAGATCTATATTATACATTTTTTTTATTTTCTTATCAATCATTACTATTAGTAACCTCCACCCCCTTTATATATTTTACAAAAATGGACTCGATGTCGGTCAATATGCATTTATAATGACCAAGAATGACAGATATTGACCAAAGATACACGAAGTCCAAGTTCAATATTATACATGTATCTGAGGTCAACATCTGTTGTCCTGGGTCATTATAAATGCATATTGACCGTGCATCAAGTCCATTATTATTACTATTGTATTACTTAAATTTCCTAAATTTATTAGTAGAATGTATATCTTCGTAATGTTTACATAGATATTAATGTCCTGTTGTTGTTATCTTAAACAAGTTGAATGTAAATGTTTCAAAATTTATTGAATGTTACTCTGACACAGGCACTTGTTTTGGTGAGAAATTTAAACCCATAACACAACACAAGCAGGTCAGTGGTACATTCAGGTACAATCACTAGATTTAGCTATCGATATGTAACATAAATTACATATAAAGCTTTAAATTTATTTACCTACCTAAGGTAGCTTTATTTTATTTAGCTACCATAGTAGACTTTTCTGTTGAATTAATATTTTTCTCAGGATGTGAACAAAATTGCACTTTGATGCAGTGATTTAAACTCATATGAAAACAATTAATGAAAAAATTGCTCTTGAAGATGTGTCTTTTTCTGCGCAATTGCAGTTAAGGTTCTGAAAGTTTAAGATCTACATGTATATACAGTTTAGTTAATTGTGATCAAAACTTCTTGAATGCACTTACGAAGAAAACCAGTTTCGGTTAACATAGTAGTAAATGCAATGGTAATTATTCAAGACAATGTGAAGTGATCATACTCATCCATGCCTCACCGCACACAAGGCAGTGGACAGTTACTCAAACAATAGAAATAATACATCTTTTGCTTAAAAGTGTTCAAAAGCAGCAATGTGTAATCTATCTCTCTTTTGGATTGCTTTTTTTAAACATGTATCTATGTATAAATATTAGTGGCCATATAATTGCAACTTAATGAGAATAACATCTGTATGAGTATGAGTACGGTAAAAGTTTTATAACCTCGGAGCCAGAAGTATACATTCTAAAATACTGGTCAGCATCTAAACATCAAAAAGATATGCATATCGAGACTGTAGCTCTACTGGTTTATACTTATAACAAAAGAAGAGAAAAGTTGCAGTTGGGACTTAAAACTGTAACAGCAATAAAGAGAATAATTATCCTTGATAAAGTCTTTTGGTGACAAAATTGCAATAAGATTACAGCTGTAGGAGTAGCTTTTAATAATTTTTTTAACGAGTTTTTCAATTTTAGTTACCATGGCAACACCGTTCATTGAAATTAATTTTTAAACAAAAAAAAAAGACAATAATGTATCTTAGTGTAGTCTATCTGCATGACACATTATATCATTATCACACTAAAACTATATTTGTGATAGCATTTTTAGCTCTACTGGTCAGAGACCAGAAGAGCTTATGCGATAGTAAGGTGCCCGTCGTCCGTCCGTCTGTCTGTCTGTAAACAATTTTTCAAAAAGCTACTCCTCCTACAGTTTTGGTCTGATTTTAATATAACTTGGCACACAAGTAGACTACACTAAGATACATAAAATAGTGCATCGGTTTTTGATTTCAATGAACGGTGTTGCCATGGTTACTAAAAAATAGAATTTCTGTGAAATTCCTTTAAAACGCTACTCCTTCTACAGTTTTGGTCTGATTTCAATATAACTTGGCACACAAGTAGACTACACTAAGATACATAAAATAGTGCATCGGTTTTTGATTTCAATGAACGGTGTTGCCATGGTTACTAAAAATAGAATTTCTGTGAAATTCCTTTAAAACGCTACTCCTCCTACAGTTTTGGTCTGATTTCAATATAACTTGGCACACAAATAGACTACACTAAGATACATAAAATAGTGCATCGGTTTTTGATTTCGATGACCGGTGTTGCCATGGTTACGAAAAATAGAATTTTCTGTGAAATTTCTTTAAAACGCTACTCCTTCTACAGTTTTGGTCCAATTTCAATATTACTTGGCACACAAGTGGACTACACTAAGATACATAAAATAGTGCATAGGTTTTTGATTTCGATGAAAGATGTTGTCATGGTTACTAAAAATAGAATTTTCTGTGAAATTCCTTTAAAATGCTACTCCTCCTACAGTTTTGATCTGATTTCAATATAACTTGGCACACAAGTAGACTACACTAAGATACATAAAATAGTGCATCGGTTTTTGATTTCGATGAACAGTGTTGCCATTGTTACTAAAAATAGAAATGTCTAAGAAATTCCTTTAAAATGCTACTCCTTCTATAGTTTTGGTCTGATGGCAATGGCTTCTTTTCTCATCCTTTGTTATAAGTACAAACCTGTAGAGCTACAGTCTCGAGAGAGACTTCTGGTTTAAATAATTTCACAGAAGTTTCTATTTTTAGTAACGACGGCAACATCCTTCCTCGAAATCAAAAACCGATGCACAGAGTTATATATCTTAGTATAGTCTACTTGTGTGCCAAGTTGTATTGAAATCAGAGCAAAACTGTAGTAGGAGTAGCAATTTGAAAGCATTTCATAGACGTTTCTATTTTTAGTAACCACGGCAACACCCTTCATCGAAATCAAAAATCGATGCACAGAATTATGTATCATAGTATAGTCTACTTGTGTGCCAAGTTATACTGAAATCGGACCAAACTTGTAGAGGAGTAGCATTTTGTAAAATTGTTAACAGACAGACAGACGAACAGCTAGACAGACGGACGGACGCATTTCTATAGCACAGCTCTTCTACTTCAGATTTCTGTCACTGTATATGTGTTAAACTTGGTACAGGAAATATTATGTAATAATTTTTCCAAATGATATTCTTATGGATTGCTCAAATATATTCATCATTCAAAATAGTGTTCATGGTGTAACAATTTGTGTCTTTTGTATAACAAACTTGAATTTTAAATCAGGACTTACAGAGAATAACAGTTACTATATCTGCCAAAGTGTGCATTTGGTCATTTTCAATGCACTCAAAATGCTTCTAAACTGTCAAAATGAATAAAACTATATTAAAATTTGGGTTTTTATACTACATGTAGTCCACGGTGTAACGTAATTGTCCTTGGTGAAACACACTTGAACCAAATTGTTTAAATAATTTGACCCTGGATTTAATATTATACACATTGATAATATTTTGTGTTCAGTATATGCATTCATAACTTATAACTATGAAAATCTGCAATTGTCTCTATTCTAAAATCTGATAATGGTTTGTTTAAAATGTGACATATTTACATCTGCTTAAGCAAAATTGGACAAGAAATGGAGATTGATTGATAGTATATTGTTTAACGTCCCTCTTGTGAATTTTTCACTCATATGGAGACGCCACCACTTGCCGGTGGAGAACTACAAATTTTGTCCTATGCTTGGCACTTAGGGCCATTGAGCAGGTAGGGATCTTTTTCGTGCCAGCACCTACTGCGACACGGGACCTCGGTTTATACGATCTCATCCGAAGGACCGGTCTCCACGTCCCAAAAGGCGGGGTTCGAAACTGCGACTTAAGGATTGACTCCTTACTTGGCGACTCTGGAGCAGGCGCTCTAACCACTGCGCCACGCGGGCGACTAAAAGGAGAAGTTATTAGTGTGCAATAAAAGGTCATAAGACAGATGCACATTTCTCAATTACACACTATATATGGAAATATAAGGGAAAACACTAATGAATTCCTGCTTTATGCTTAAAATCAAGATAAACATGAAAAATTCACTTGAAAAAAATAACAAATGCATGAGCAGTTTATTTTGATGAAATTTATGAATATTGTTTTATTTGTTACACCGAAGACTATTTTCTTCTGATTTGGTTGTAAATATCTTACTTTAAAAGAAATTTATTTGATGTACTGTTTGCATATTTTAGCAAATAGACAACATGATATGCTTCATTCAAAATATGATAATTTTTTTTAGTTGTAATTCATTTTTGAAAAAGTGGTACTTGATAAGATCCATATTTTGTTGGGAATGACCCTACTTTGGTGTTTCAGTAAATTTGAGTCATCCCTGAAAAACACAACTACTAGTAGGGTTTATTGCTACTGGAGTTGTTTGGCTCCAATAAGTACCGTGAAGTGTTTTACAGCCAGGTGTAATATCTTTATACTCATCTTTGGAGAGAGTTTTTCTCTTTTTTTTTTTTCATTTTCTTTTTCTCATCAACTTGCACCTGCCTCCATTGGTATTTTTTTCTTATCAAAATCTGCCTTCAAATCTTTATTAAATGAAACATTTTTCAGGACTTTCACGGACAAATATGTCTTACTTTCTCCAAATCTGAAAAACCAATGCCATATTTTGGTGTTTAATACATAGACAAGACGTAAAGGAGATACAAACTTTGCTGTCTGTTAAAATATGTTTTGGTCTTTACCTGCAGAACGTTGCAAATGTGAAATGAAATTTTTATTTCAGAATTCTCTGCACAATGCTTTTAGATCAGGTTGGACAAATAATCCGTCAAAACCATTGTTTCTTTTCTCGGTTCTGTCTTTTAAAGGGACAGGGACTCAGTTTCAGCTAAAAAAAATTTAATTTTATCCCCATTTTTTATGTTTATAAATACTTAACTAAGGTATTTTTCAACGATTATCAAAAAATTGTATTTCAGTAGTCGAGACTCAAGACAGATTAAGAGCTCCAAACCTTTGTTGTGTAAACAAGGCCTGTGTGATCATGTTTTGTTTACATCGGTTAAATATGTTAATACACGAATATGTTTGTTCAAAGCAGATTTAAAGAAAAGTTAATTTTAAATACCATTAGACTGAGACAGTTTCTAGTGATTTACTGCATCTCGTTTTGTTATAAATATAATATTTTCTATATGTAAACAAAAACAAGGCACGAGCCTTGTTTACATTATGAGGTATTTTAAGTTCCGTATCTCCTTTGTAAATCAACAAATAATGTTCAATTTTTTGCTGATCATATGCATTGCCTTAATTAGGAATTGTAAACATGAAAATTTATTTTTAAAAAATCAGTTGAAACTGTGTCCATGTCCCTTTAACAGCATCGGATTTCTTTTACTGTTATCTTCCCTACCAATAA